ATTCAAATATGGCACCTCGAGATTCAATGAAGCACGAAATCTAATGATGTGTTTATGCCAAACCTTACACAACGTTTCTTGATGCTTGACGATGAGAAATGGGTGAGATTTTAGAGCCAGGACATTCTGCCTTTTGCGTTCCATGAAAGAAAGTCATTGGGGTTGGAACGCGTGAGGGTGAGTAGCCTAAATGATGACAGCATTTTCATTTTTGGCGGAATTGTTCCTTTAAGTGTGCCATTTTGGGGGGTGTTTTAGATCATATGCATAAGTGGATCTGTTTCCTTGTTATTATTCTGCCACTTTTAGGCTGTTTGTCTCCCTTCAAACAAGCTGATTGACTTGTGGAATAAGCCCAAATCTAAGCTTTTGTCTCTTGACTAACAGGGGCAACTAGTGTGGCCATCGTAGTTTTAGACCCTGACACATAAAACACAAGGCTAACAAACAGGGGAGGACAGGAGGAGAGGAGGGACAACCTCTGAGACTGACAACCACCAATTGACTTCAACTACATAACCCAATCATTAAAGTCATTTGACTTCAATGAGCGGCCACCGCTGGGCCCACAGGAGAATAATATCTCCGGCTAAAATCTCTCCGCTAAATACATGCTTTCTATTTACTTTCTCCTACTTTAGTTGTTTTTTTTTCTTTTGCACACGTTTTTTGCCAGTCTTACGGACAACGGCCTATTATTTATTCAGAACGGCGACACAATGCAAAAATGCATAATTCATTGAACTTTGTACTTTGCTGTTCTATTTGAGCATGCACAATGCATGAGCCGTATGGAAATATGCACACGCCCAGCAAATTCTGATGTGCCTGTAACCTTTTAAAATCAACCTGGATCATTTATTTACTTGTTTACGCATTAGTCTTTTGTGTTCGGGCCCCTGAAAACACGACTCGACTGTGTAGTGGTGCACTTCACAATTTTAGGCCTTACTTTTTAATGTGTTTTTTTCAATCTGTCAGTTGAGGTGTGAATGGTTCTAAATAGCAGTTTTGTGCTGTTGCAGAACGAGGGTGTTAGTTACAACACTTTGTTTTAAGAAAAGATTATTTTGTTGTGTTATTATAAAGAGTGCAGAATTAACTCTGAAGGTGAAAGTGCCAATTTAGAACACATTTTTACAAAGATGTGTCGGTTTGTATATAAAGATGTTCTTGCGTATTTTTGAAGAATGTTTTGGATCACATAATCTGATGTTATCTACTTGCGCTGAGAAAGTGTAATCCATTTTTTTTTTTTAGCAAACTATGCGCTCTGAGACAATAGGCATAAAGCTGGTGGACGTATTCTGGCGTTCGCACAATGGCATGGTCCATTCAGCAAGACTGTTGACCTCTGACCCCCCCTCCCTCATCTCTCAAGATGCACTTAAACTGTTTGTCAGAAACACTGAAGTGCACAGCCAGATCTGCCATGCCATAGCCTTCTGTTTCTGAAGGGCTGAGGCGACGCGCACACACACACTCACACTCACACACACGTTGGGTTTCCATGTTTTATGAGGACTTTCCATAGATACTGATATTTCTATTGTACAAACTGTATATTCTATCCCCCTACCCCTAAACACAACCTTCACAGAGAACTTTCAGCATTTTTACATTTTCAAAAAAACAAATTCATAAGCTGTTTGCGTCAAAAAATGACCCTACAAGGTCAAACATTTCTGGTATTACTATCTTGTCCCCACAACGTAAGGTTTATCAGGAGACACACACACACATTCAACAAATATAAGATGGCTAAATTATTTATTTTGGTGAGAATTGACAAAACAATCTTATTTATGACATTGTTTTTTGACAAATTTTCATGGTAAAAATCATTATATATATATATATATATATATAAAGAAATAATAGAAACTTACTCTGCATGTATGGAACACTTTCATAATTTTCAAACAAGCTGAAATTGTCTGCATTCAATTACTTATTAGCTACTGACTGATAAATGCAATATAATTTATATACATGTTTGCTAGAGAGGAACTTGCTAGTAAAAATAATTCCCTGACGTCTAGTCATGCAGTTTAGTTTTTATATGGTTTTGGCATTTGATCAAACAGTTGCTTAAGATAGGATGAACTTTGTTCTGATCTTGTCTTAGTGAATCATGTCAGAATCAAAATTACATTTGGATTGGCAGGCAAACATGCACACCCAAACTAAAGTTGTTTTTAGATTTGTATTTCCTTATATATTCATATCAGTGTGTGTCCGCTTGCACTTATATATGAATGTGTGTGTGTGTGTGTGTGACAGACAGGGGATTATTGTCACCTAAGTGATGGATGATGCATCGGCCCCCAGCACTTGAAAGCATTGTGAGGGGGTCAAGATGGCCCTCTCAGTGCTGTCAGATCCTGAAAAGATTTACTGTAGAGACAGCTTAGCCCCATCATAATAGATTGCTTTTGGGGTGAAAGGAAGGCATTCCACCCACAGCAATGACAACTAGCCATAGACTACAGCACAATCTGACATCCAAATTTATCTTTTAGATGCAATGCAATGTTTCAGTCTGATACTTTTGATGTCACGTGTGATGTAGCCTAATTATATATATATATATATATATATATATATATATTTATTCTTTTAGTTATTTGTTGATTTATTGAATTTAACAATATATAAGAAATTGCCTAAACTGACAATAACAAACCGTTATAACGATATAAATAGATAAAGTCCGATGAACGAATTATAATTTTCAGCTGAAATAATCAGTCGTATAATTTCGTGTAGCAATCTATAGAGCAATATAAGCAGCAAAGTCTCCTGTAAAAATATGCGATGATTATATTTAGTCAATTCGTTGATCAAAACGGAATCATGCAGATAAAAAACGAAAGTTGTATTAATTATACATATAATAATATTATAATGCATGAAATAATATAGGCTACATGCTTTATTGTCGTCTTTTGGGTGAAATTATTGCATAGGCTAGTATTAAATTTTTTTTTTTTTTAAATGAATAGCCTAATTGGAGAACAGCAACCCGCAATAAGTAAATAAATAAATAACGCTATGTACTATCAATTATAATAGGCTACTTAGCCTAATATTCACCTAATGGTTATTCGTGAGTAGGATATTCAAGTTTAAAGTTTTCGTTGTTGAATATAGGCTGAAAATGACAGTTTTAAGTGTCTCGTGCAACATAATGCGTGTTTCTAGCCTATCTCTGTCGGCGCAAATATTAAATTTAGTCAAAGACAAATCGTTTAAAATATCTGCTAAATGTTTGTGGCAGAAGACCGCGAGTAAAAACAGGTGTGTGTAGCCTATTTAAAGCACCACGGAAATCCTCGCGCAGGGCTCGCGCTCAGCCCAACAGTCGATGTAGGCTATTTTCTCTCTCTCTTTTTTTCTTTTCTTTTTTACATTTTCATTATCTGGGAAAGATACATTTTCCATCAATAATAGATTCATATGGTGGTCAGAGGAGGAGAGGACATGGGGAGGGGTTCAATCCTTTTGGTTGGAGATAAGAGAGGAGGAGTGGCCGATAGAGAGAATCACTAATGAGCGCGACTCACCTCATCAAAGACGCGCGTGTTCGGACTCTGTCTCGCGCTGCTGTCGCGCGCAGTGTCATGATACTATGGGTTGCGTGCTGAACTCTACGGGACCAGAGCTGCTATTACAACTGGAGGCTTTAAGATCCACCGCTCAACAACTAGCCCAACTTTATCAACTCTCGGGAAAGAAAAAGGTCAGATATGTGCTCTTCCCTTCGTTAAACTGTAGTTGTAATATTAATATTAATATTAATAATAGCCTAATAGCTGTGTTGTACATTGACCACCCCTCTTGAGCGGCAAGCTTATGCCTTGGCCTACTTTTATAACACACATTAGAGTTGTCACAACAGTGGAGCTCTGAGATGAAGTTTGTGCAGGTTTTTAGCTGTATGTGTTGATTTCGGAGAGGGGCCCAGATCAGCTGCTGTCGCCTAGCCCTGAGCGCCCTCATGAGGGAACAACTGGTACTGTCCTTTTCACTGTGTGCCGCTATATAAAACGGACTAGTTCTTTTCTTTTACTATGATTATTATTTAAGTCTATTTAGGTGAGTTGCACTCTATAAATTATTTATTTTACAAAATAAACGCGTGGTTTTTGAATGTGTTTTGGTTAAAACACACAACAGATGTGGTTTGTCATCACAGCGCTCTTAAATGATTTTAATTATGGTTCATTTAGGAAACTTTGCGGCAAAACATTTGACTTAGAAAAATTGACAACTGGGATAATAATATAATAGCATATATACTAGGCTATATCCTATTAAAAATGTATTTAGGATTTAGATTTTAGATTTAAAACAAAAACATATAGGCTAACTCCTTATTTAGCCTACCCTGGATACATAATTTCCGTGCTTATAAGTAAGTACCACAATATCATGTCTTTTGTGTTTTAAAAACATTTTTTTTTTCTGCTTGCGTGTTTCATTTGATTTTTTTAAATTAAAACGAAAACGCATCAAACACATCTGATTAGGCTACGGTTAGCCTATAAAAAACATTTTTTTATTATATTATTTTATTGTTGTATTCTTTAATTTCACCTATTTTATTAGGGGAATTATTTTGATGCGTTCGTTTATTATGTGTGTGTGTGTGTTCATTTCTTTCTCGTTGGCCTTCGGTGAGTAAATCATCGAATGAAGATGCGATTTCAAATGCGCTTTGCATTTCATAATTACTGCATCTGTTTATCTTCTCATTTGTGTTTGTTTGCCGTCTGTGTTTTTTATCCTTAAAAACATTGTAAAATATAACCAATTCATATTATTGCTTTTACACTTGCTATGTTTAAAATAAAGCCTTATTTCTCTACAAAATACGGATGATGATGATGATAATAACGATGATAACAATAACAATTAAGTAATAATAATAATAGCCTAATTTGATGCCTTTTGTTGTTGTTTTAAAAATCTTATGCGTCTTTATTCTGTCTTTGCAGATCTGTTATAAAGCTATTAGAGATATTGAAATAGGGGAGGAGTTACTGGTTTACATGAAGGACGGAGTTTTCCCCGAGGGCTCAATGGCACCGAACCTGGAAGGTGAGATTAATGCAAGTCATTAGGCACTCTTTTAAACAAACTCACACAGACCGCACTCGTTCACCTCTTCTAACAGTTACTGGAGTAACATGCTTTATGTGGCCTATGTATGTCTCGATGTTGTACAAAGTTCGGCAACGAAGAAAATTCATTCATTCAAGAAGTCGTCCGTTTCAACCCAGAGGCAACTGAAGGACTAGTCGACGATATTTACAATGAAATTGTATCACTATAGAGTTGATACACGTATAGTTATTTTTGGTGGCTAATTAAATTTATATTTATATGTAAATATAAAATTACACACTGTCAAATCGAAAAATCGTATAAAAGTTTTTGTTTACATAAAATGTGAGTGCGCGTGCACGTCTGTGTAGGCCTATATGTTTTTTTTTTTTATGTGGAAATATATGTGTATACAGTGTATATATATATATATTATACACACACACACATTTTTGACAGTATTATATATATTGCACTGTACAATGTGTAGTGTTTATTGCATTTTTTTTCTTTAAAAGCAGGGGTTGTCACTTGTACTTTCCATATTAAAACACAGAAAGTTGGCAGTTTTGAAACAAGCTCATAGTCTTCTACATCTTTTTTTTTTTTTTTTTTTTCGTTTCCAAGTGATCCGGTAATTTCGGATTTGAAGCTCAGAGTAGTTGATACAGACTAGAAAATTGCAAAAGCATTGAAGTGTGTCACAACGCAGCAGTCACTCTCCAACACATGCACAATGTTTTATCTGATAGAGATGTGTCCTCAGATCTCCCTGCCAAAAAGGCTAGAAGAGAAAGCTCTCTGGGAGAGCTAAGAGAGACAGGGACGCCAAAAGATGCAAGCCAGGCTCCACTCAGACAGATCAATCCAGAGAACAAAAGAAAGGAAACGTAGAGTAGAATGAACACGGTCATCGAAGAGGAGTCAGACGAGAGACAAACCGATAGACGGACAGAATGAGAGCTCTCGACGTCTACCTCCTTCTCACGGCTTATCGGTGGTGGAATTTGGAGTGGAGCTGGAGGAGTCTCGGGGGACCTCACCCATGCTCACAGATTAGCCGCTAAACTGCACATAATTGTGTTCCCCCTACTTCTCTCCAAGAGCTATTAGTTTCCCATTCCCTGTCTTTTCCCCAACATTCCTGCCTTTGTCGTTAGTGCTACCGATGGGACGGAGAGATAATGTCTCAAATTCGTTTTATGGCTTCTCTCGATAAAAAAAAAAAAAAAAAAAAAAAGTACAGAAATTAAGTCTGCACAGAATTTATTCACTTTAGTTTTCCCTGTAAGGCCTCTTTGAGGTTACAAGGGGAGTTCATTCAAAATATTTTGCAGGAAGTCTATGAGCATCGCAATGGAGCGTGTTCTGTCAATACATGTCATTGGAAAAGAAAAATAAAGCAGAAAATGTGCCATGATCCTAGTTAAGACAGCATCGATGCGTGCATTTCATGGGCTTGGCTTTCACAATATTGATTTAAAGAATAATGAAAGTCATCCAACTTGGCTTGATCTGGGCCATGCATGGAGAATATCAGAGATATCACCGAGTTTAATTTGAGGATGATGATAGCTAATGAATCAAACCTTAGTGCCTTAGAATTTCCTTTTCTCTCCACGACTGCAGGGTTATCTGTGAACTTGGCTCTTGTGTCAGGATTTCACCGTGGATAAAACAGCCACGTTTTTAGCCATTTAACCCCGGGTCGTATGAACAATTACTCCAAAGACAGATTTTCAGTTCGAAAGCAAGACGTTTTTATCTGTAATCTTGTAATCTCTTTACTGTTTTATGTCATTTTTCAAGGTTTGTAAAATAGGATTGATCTTAAATATTTGTATTTGTACTTATTAAAACTACAAGGATTTTTGGATGCATTTGATATTAAAATAAATTTGGAAAGATGTGTACATTTCATTACATTATTGATAACAAAATATCAAAACAAGTGGCATCTACAAACAAAATGATGCTTGAGCTTTTCACAGATGGTGTTTCAGGGATTTTTAGTGAATGTGTTAAGTCAGTTCTCCTAAAGTGCACACAGGTGTCCTATAGAGTAACCAAAGGTGCAGTACATCAAATTAACAATGGACATGTTCTACTAACATTTGACAACCAGAAAGTGCTATATATATATATATATATATATATATATATATATATATATATATAATTTTAAACAGTATATCTGTTGTTTTATCATTTAAAATCTCTTTTTTGAGTTTTTATATATATACTGTATATATATATATATATATATATATATATAAATATAATATATATATATATATATATATATATATATATACTGTATATATATAAAGAGATTTTAAATGATATATATATACAGTATATATATAAATAATATATATATATATATTTTTATATATATATAGTTTTCTATATATATATATAATAACAGATATACTGTTTAACATTTTATATATATAAAATTAATTTTAAACAGTATATCTGTTGTTTTATCATTTAAAATCTTTTTTGAGTCTATATATATATATATATATACACATATACACACACAGATACACTTTTATGTTGGATGCGATTAATCTATTTGACAGTATTACATATATTGCACTGTATGCACTATATAGTGTTCATTGTTTATTGCAATTTTTTTTTTTAGTCTTGCTAGAAAGGTAAATGCGACTTTGTTTGATATTTTGTCATCTAATATTATGAATTTTAGACAATTTGAATTGTGGCTGAAGTATTCGAATACATCTTGAGGTGTTATCCTGAAGACTGTCCCTTTTTATAATTGAATAATTCCTTTTAATAATCATTGTAATTCAAGAGCAATTGTATGATGGTGTCCCAACAGATGAGCAGATGTACCGCTGTGAACACTGTGATGAACTCTTTACATCAAAGCTGGAGTTACGGCGGCATCAGAAATACTCCTGCAGCAGCGGCAACTCTATCTTTGACTCGCTAAGCGAAGACTTCAAACAGGAGCGCGAAGACAGCGATGAGCCAGTACACGAGTGCAAAGACTGTGAAAAGATCTTCCCTAGCGAGTACAGGTCAGCATACTGCTCAAGTTGTAATTACCCCACCTAGCTTTAGGTAACCCCAAGTTGTAAGAATTCAAAAAAGGGGTGTGAAAATGCTTTCTAATGTTTATTTGCCTGGTTTGCGTACATCAGTGGTTCTCAACTGGTCATTGTACCAGTGACCGAACACAGAACCCGAATTGTTTATTGCACATGTGTATGTTAAATGTGTGTGATAAACACGCGTTTATAAACTTTTGCATGAATGATATGTTTATCTTACAAAAGCAAACAAAAATGTTCTTAAAATCAAACACTGAAATTTACTGAAGTTGCAATGAGCCACATAGGAAAACATTATAAAAAATTATTAACATGAGACAGAACCCAAAGGAAAAGGTCGCCACAAACCACATTTGGCATTTTGCCCAATAGATTTTGATCAGTTTGACTGTACAGTCTTTGACGTTGTATTACTTACATTTAGCATTCTTCTTCCCTGTGATATGCAATCACTGGCCTACATGGTGTTCTTATTTATTCTTAGTCTGGGGCAGCATATGATCGTGCACACAGAAGAAAGAGAGTATAAGTGTGACCAGTGCCCCAAAGCTTTCAACTGGAAATCCAACCTCATTCGCCATCAGATGTCACATGACAGTGGCAAACGCTTTGAGTGTGAAAACTGTGATAAGGTAGGTTTCTGCAACCACTTATGTTTTTGAATGCGTTCATCAGTTTATATGTGGGAAGTTGAAACATGTTTTAAAATGTATTTGAAGAAAATGTACATATTTTTTTTTTTTTTTTTTTTTAAAAAGGTCCTGCAATGCATGTGACAAATGAATTTTTAACAGTACAAGCATTCTCTTGATTAATATGAGGTCATGAAAGCTGCAGTATAATTATAAAATGCAATAGCCAAATTTTGTTTAAAATTCTTTTAGATGGATGTCACACCACAGGACGTCAACTTTCCAAAAGTATTACTTTTCACTTCCCATGTACTTCAAAACATTGTTTATGCTAATAGTACTATTCATTTTCATCTTACATTGCCTTTTACACAATGTTCGATTTGTAGATTTAGACTTGGCACTAAGTGGGCATATTTCTGTGGGTTCTTCAGGTGTTCACAGACCCCAGCAACCTCCAGCGCCACATCCGCTCTCAGCACGTCGGTGCCCGAGCCCACACCTGCCCTGAGTGTGGCAAGACCTTTGCCACCTCCTCGGGCCTCAAGCAGCACAAGCACATACACAGCAGTGTCAAGCCTTTCATCTGTAAGTCTGAGCAGTCTTGTCTAAGCCTCAGATACAATTACCAGTGTCCAAAGACCTCCCGGCTAGCTCCACCCCAAGATTGTGACAGCTGTTGTTTTATAGGTCAGAGAAACTAAATGAAATTCTAGAGCCATTCTTTGTTTTGTTCTACATTTGTTGGGCTTTTCTTTCGTGCTTTCTCTTAATTACTCCATTTTACCCTTCTTCTTTTTTTTTTTTTTTTTTTTTTTTTTTGCAACTGTGCATTTTCTTTTGAGGGCCCATTAAGGCTTGTATATAGCCAAGGCAGATTTAATGTCTAGAGGTTAATGTGTATATGCCTTGTCTTGAAAATATACTGAGAAAACATCGTCTTCATTTTGCTTGGCTTCACAATGTTTTGTGTGTTACCGTCCTGTGTCCAAATGCACGTATGCTGTACCAGTGTACATGTATTTGTATGTATACAAAACAGTTAATCTATTAATCAACAAGATATTCATTTGCTAATTTATCATATTTTTAACATATACCATTACCATGTGCAGCCTTATTTTTTTTTTAATTTCACCTTCGAAACAGAGTAGAGTTCAATGTAGACTGGGGTAGCCAACCCTGCTCCTGGAGGTATGCCTTCCTGGACGCTTCAGTTTCGCCCCTGCTCCAACACACCTGCCTGTAATGTTCAAGCAATCCTGAACAGCTTGATTTGCTTATTCAGGTGTGTGTCTGATCAGGTTTGGAGCTAAACTCTGCAGGAAGGTGGCCATCCAGGAGAAGGGTTAGCTACTTCTGATGTGATTGTTGAACATGATAAACAGCATGCACAGTTTATTGGTTGATCTACATAATCAGCTGCCGGATTTTCACTTCTATTGAATGAACGCCAAACGAAAACAGTATGTTAATAGAATTAACCAGTCATGTGTGTTCTCCCAGGTGAGGTGTGTCACAAATCGTATACCCAGTTCTCTAACCTGTGTCGTCACAAGCGGATGCATGCAGACTGCCGCACCCAGATCAAGTGTAAAGACTGTGGGCAAATGTTCAGCACTACCTCCTCCCTCAACAAGCACCGGCGCTTTTGCGAGGGCAAGAACCATTATAATCCCGGAGGCATATTCACACCGGGCATACCAATGACATCCAGTCCCATTTTAGGCAAATCCAAGTCTCATCCTGGCTTGAACCATGGTGGACTTAACTTCAGTGATTATTTCTCCTCCAGGCCGCATCATGCAGGTTTGCCCTTTTCCCCAGCACCTCCTGCATTCCCAGCCATGTCCCATGGCTTCCCAGGGATCTTTCCCCCATCACTATATCCTAGACCACCATTGTTACCTCCTAGTTCACTGCTCAAGAGCCCACTTCAAGATGGGAAGCTGCCTCCCCTTGACGCCCCTACTCTTTCCGTGGTCTCATCCATGCACAACAGCAATGGAAATGTAGGAAGTGGCCAGTCGGAGGAGAACCGAGAGTCCAAACTGGACTTCTCAGACAGCAAGAATAAAGTGAAGATGAACGACATGTCGGATGGTAGTGATTTGGAAGATGTGAACACATCTAGTGGCACAGATCTAGACACCACCACTGGCACTGTGTCTGGCTCCGACCTAGAAAGTGAGGCAGAGAGCGAACGGGAGAAGGGCAGGAGGAAACCGGTGCAGGAGAGCAAGCAGGATGAAGTGAGCAGCAGTTCGGTATCTGTCTCCAGTTCAGGGAACCTCCCTTGCGAGCGCCCGTTCCTCTCCTCCCAGCATTCCTTCTTCCCACCACCAGAAGAGCAAGCACTTCCACCCTCCGGGGCCACCACTGACTCCATTAAAGCCATTGCGTCCATTGCAGAAAAGTATTTTGGGCCTGGATTCATGGGCTTGCAGGAGAAGAAAATGAGCTCCTTAAACTACCATTCCATGTTTCCTTTCCAGTTTCTGCCCAACTTCCCACATTCCTTGTACCCATTCACAGACAGAGCACTCAATCCTGGTATGTTCTTCAAACCTGAGCCTAAATCACCTCGTGAGCACATACAGAAATTACCTACAGCCACTGGTGCGGATTCACCCTTTGACCTAACCACCAAACCCAAGGAGGTCAAACCTCTCCCTCCACCCCCCAGCAAGCCAGCCTTGCCACCCAACGCCCTCCGGGCCCCTGGCGAGGAACAGCCTCTGGACCTCAGCATAGGCAGTCGAAGCCGAGCCAACCAGAACGGTGGCACGCATGAACAGCGCAAGAATCACGTCTATGGCGCAAACTGCAAAGCGGCTAAAGATGAACACCCAGCACTAACTCAGTCCCAGAACTTGCACCAGCCCCAGATGCATCAGCCACAAGCATCCCTTCCCCAGCCACCTCCTCCCCAGCAGCCGCCGCTCCACTACGCCAAGCCCTCGCCGTTCTTCATGGACCCCATCTACAGGTATTTTAAGCCGAGTAGGCCTTATTGTATTACCCACCACCATGACAATCCAAATGTGACAAGTTATTGGTACCCAGTAGGTTTACCACCAACCTTCGTTCGTACGTAACCCTTGGTGTTGTTGTCCAGCAGGGTGGAGAAGAGGAAGCTATTAGACCCAGTAGGAGCTCTAAAGGAGAAGTACCTGAGGCCTGCACCACTACTTTTCCATCCTCAGGTATTTTTTTTTTTAAAAACATTTATTTGCTTTACTTCCTCTTGTACCTTGGTAAAGGTACATAGCATTGCTCTTCAAGAACAGTGGAGTATGCCAAGACGCCAAAAACACATTCCCAGTGTCCTCCGCCTCAGGCCTGTTTGGTTCAAGGGGAGCCTTGATCTTTTTTTAAAAAGTCCTGACTTCTGATGGTATTTATTTTCATTAGATTATTTCCATCATGAAGATAATCTCATAAGAAGTATTGCCTGTTCTGGCATGCTGTGTATTCAAAATTCGTTATCGTTTGCTTAGAAAAACAACCCCCATTGTTTGTGTTAGTATTTTAAACCTTTCCCACCTTTGAACGGTGACAACAATAATGAAAATATTATTAATAATGGCCTTTTGAATTGAAACAAATTATGCCACATACTTTCGGAGCAGACCATTGTCTCTGGGAAGTTCTCCGTTGAGTCCCCACCGCTAATAACTTCCTAGCATTTCTTTCTTGCTCTGGCTGCCTAGATAATGTCTGCATGTCGATCAGGGACTTCCTGTGTTTGTGTGTAATAGAATGGCCTCTCTTGTTGGGAACTGTCTTATCTGACCTGTAAATCTGGCCTCCATCAATGCTGACCTACCCCCCCCCCCCCCCCCAAATCCAAACCTTCTCTCGCTTTTTCCTGCTCTCTTTTCAGCAGCCCCTATTTACTTCTACAGGTGGTCTGTCTATCTATCTATCTATCTATCTATCTATCTATCTACTATCTATCTATCTATCTATTCATCTGTCTGTCTGTCTGTCTGTCCGTCTAATTGTATATTACTGCAGTTTTTCAAATGTATAATATTTTAGCTGCACCGGCGCCGGTGATTTCTTAGAGAAATATGTGATCATGATTTAAAAAAAGGTTTAAGCATTAAGAAGAGCACCATTGCCTTTTTGATATTCAAAGCTAAAACACTGACAGAATCAAGGTGATAGCAAGACATGTTCAGTGTAAATAAATGAAAGCACACTGTCTGTCTCTGTGTTTATCCATATTCCAAAAGTAGGAAGGATGTAAGCTGTTTTTGGCCATAGAGCCACATAGCGAAGCCTTTGTTCTGCAACAGGGGAAGTACTATCAGCGAGGGGTATCTTAAACTGCATTGTATGGTTACCGCTCACGGAGGTGAATGGCTCATTCAGACGCTTCTCTCAGAGATTTGTTGGGAACAAAGTAGGAGCCGGGGGCTCCCAAGGGGCTGCTCGAGTGGCTGCCAACGTGCCATAGGTTAGGGAGGTCACTCTTGAACAGCACAATCAAGTCTCGACCTTCTGATATATAACTTCCTCCAGCTTTCCATCCTGTCTGGTTATGATGCAAACTCTCAGGCTCTCTGTCAGAGTTCCTCACCACCACTATTATTTTGTTCTTCGTGTGTCTGCCCTAAACAAACGCAAGAAAAAGTTTCTTAGTCCCGCACGGACCCTAATCTCACACAAAATCGATCCGAGAGAAGTTTCTGATTAAATGAGGCCCTGAGCTGTGCATCAAACATAGAGTATTCCTCTCTGAACTCTCCTCATGTTCTCTCCTCAGGTGTCTGCGATGGAAAACATGACTGAGAAGTTGGAAAGCTTTGGCGCTCTGAAACTGGATGCTCCCAATTCCCTCCAGCACCCCTCACACCATCTTTTTAACTTCCGCTCCCCGCCTCCCTCTCTCTCCGATGCTATCTTACGCAAAGGCAAGGAGCGATACACCTGCAGGTGAGCGCCGCTCGTGAAACAAGAGTAAACATCCCTAAAAGATTCCTTTAACTCTAAAGTTTTATTTTGAGCAGTTCTACCATTCCTTTATACAGTAGTTACAGTATATGTACACATTAACACAAAATAGAAATAAACTCGGTAACACTTTAGAATACGGTTCCTTCGTTAATGAATAACTACACAAGAACTAATGAGTAACACAATATTAACAATCTAGTAACTATTATTAACTAACAAGAAACTCTGATTAACGAACTAGTAAGTAATAGCGCATAGACGAAAGTGGTAGTTCACTATTAAGTAATCAATAACTACTATTTTTTTAATACTTCCCAAAGAACTACTGAAAAAGTTTATTAACAATCTAGTAACTACTATTAACTAAAAGAAATTCTTATTAACTAATTAGTAAGTAATAGCTCACAGATGAAAGTGTTACTAGATACTTCTGTGGGAATTACTAATTATTTGGATCCGTATTATAAAGTGAAGATCATTGGAACTAACTAGTAATTACTGAAGTGTTACTACATGATCTAGTCATGATTTGTGCAAACGTTTGAGATTTTTGGTGAACTTTAGTATACTTTTAGAAAATGTCTTTAGTAACACTTGAGTAATTACTAGTTAGTTCCAATGATCTTCACTTTTATAATACAAATCCAAATAATTAGTAATTCCCACAGAAGTATCTAGTAACACTTTCATCTGTGAGCTATTACTTACTAATTCGTTAATAAGAGTTTATTTTAGTTAATAGTAGTTACTAGATTGTTAATAAACTTTTTCAGTAGTTCTCTGGGAAGTATTAAAAAAATAATAGTTATTGATTACTTAATAGTGAACTACCACTTTCGTCTGTGCGCTATTACTTACTAGTTCGTTAATCAGAGTTTCTTGTTAGTTAATAATAGTTACTATATTGTGTTACTCATTAGTTCTTGTCTAGTTATTCATTAATGAAGGAACCGTATTCTAAAGTGTTACCATAAACTCTATAGAGATAAAGTTACCAATGTTCTGCTTTTGTTTTATTAATCATCCAAATTTACATTGAATGTCCCCAGACAATAAGTTAGAACTCTTTGAATTTGAGAGTTGTAACAATGCTGGATGACTGTATCAAAGTTTCCATTCCTTTGCAGGTACTGTGGGAAAATCTTTCCCAGGTCAGCTAATCTTACAAGGCACTTACGAACACACACAGGAGAACAACCATACAGGTAAGCCACTCTTATACATACACTCTTACACACACACAAATGCAGTACTGAAATTCTAAAGCTTTATACCCCCTGTGTGAAGGAGATTTA